CAGGGGATGGGAACTCGGGCTATAGACATGATTTTTAATCCATTTTAAATACTTAAAGTTTTAAAAATAGAATAAAATTTCGTAGACAAATTAATTGCACACCAAGTGAACCCCAAATAAAAAAGCGCATAATGGTGCGCAATATTATTATTACTTTTAAAATTTACATTAGTTTTTTGAGAAATCGGAAGTAGCGTAAAGTACTACTTCCAGTCATCGGAAATGACTCAAAATTTAATAGAAGGTAGAGAATTAGATCTTTTACTTACATATGAAATTTCATTTATCTATCTGAAATAGTACTCAAGTTATAGGCTTTTGAAAAATTCAAAGTAGGAAAAGTACCACTTCCGGTTATCGGAAATCGCTCAAAAGTTGATACGGATCTACGATTTTGATTAAATACCTATATATGAAATTTCATCAACCTAGCTGTAACGGTACTCAAGTTATCGTGTTTACACACGGACAGACAGACACACAGACACACAGACATACGGACAAGATTGCAAAATTATGTTTTTCCGTATCAGTGAGGTGTGAAACGTCGAGATTTGTAAAAATCTCGATTTTTTTTTTTGCACGATTACAAGACTTTCTCTATACTTCGTATATACGAGAAAGTAAAAAATCAACGAAAAAAAGAAACAATAGCAAAAAACACGACATTCTAAATTTGTTATGGCGCGTGGCTGTTACGTGTTAGATTTGCTTTACTAGACAAATAGGACAGGCATACATTCATTGTTTAATACTTCTTTAATTCCTGTTTTGTATATTAAGTGTTTTACATTACTAAAGTATCTAAAACAGTGGTTCTTAACACTTTTGGAGCTACCGAATCCTTCTTTCTAGTTACATCGTCCGCACTGCCAAAATCCGATAGTGAATCATGTGAGTCGGTGTGTGTCTTGACCTCCGCCGAACCCCAGAGATCGACTCAACGAATCCCTCCGGGGGGGGGGGGGGGTCGATTGAACCCAGGTTAGGAGCCATTGATCTAGAAGCTGTTAGACTTTTCCTCGGAAGATTACTTATCGTTTCAGCAGTCATATTACATAAAACTTATGCAAGGAGATGACAATTTACCCATGCACTTTATCTCTTTTGTCCCTAAAACCTACATTCATTCGGCATGAACTTCTTGATGGCCACAATTTCTAAACCACATGATGATATATGAAACATGACACGGCCTGATTAACTTCAAGCTCGTATCTGCTTAGATACCAAAAAACGAATGTCTAGTTACCTTTATTCATCTTGAACAAAACGAAAAACCCCACAAAAGATATCCTTTATCACTTACAGCCTAATGTTATTTGTATAAAAACCAACTTAATTGTTTGTTTTCTTTCTCGAATGAAACCCCGAATAATCAGTTGTTTTGTGTATCATATTTTCCATTTGTATTTTATGCCTGGATTAAAATGAATTATTTATCGAATTCCTGTGTTTATTGCTTAGTTTATTTTTGTTATCAAAAAGATTTATTTTAAGCTTCTCTGAGCAGAAAACGTGGCTTAATAATTTTTTATGAGAATTAAGTAGCAACAATATTGGCAAACAGATATGAGCTTTCATATCAGTTTTAAAATACAAATATTAAATTGCTCTAGAAGCTCAGCATGTCGATGAAAAATCGTTTGCAAGGTATTTAAAGTGAGTTACAATAAGGGCGTGCGAAGATAAGCCTTGCGGGTCTCCATACATCAACATCGCAATGTTTGATAGAAACAAAGACACACACTAACAAAAAAAAAAAAAACCAACAAAAGACACTTGTTTTGATCGTGGTTTAGCACACGTTTTTACTCAGGCCACAATTTAATTTTTTTGTTGGTTTATGGCCAAATCTCAGGCCAGAAACCAAGCAGCGTGAACAATACTTCACTTTCGTCAGCTTGGTGATTCAGTGATCGGTAGTATTTAATCTTGTTATCTTCCATTTATAATATATTATAGTAATTTTGTAATGATATTTTAATGACTAACTGGATATTCTTGCATTGTCACCGGGGAAGAATGTATCTGAAACGTTTGAATGAAATTGCCGTATTTACTATTAGAAGTGGGTCACAGTTGAGTATCAAGATTTACCACATCCCACAAACAAACACACACAAAAAAAAACACAACAAAACAAACATTATGAATTAAATAAAAAGTTATAAAAAAGAAAAAGCATTGGTAGAAAAATGAATTGACAAAATTTCTTGTTTTTAATAATGATTACGCCAATACACTCGTTTCTTTGTTAGAAATATCTCTAGAAGTAGAAATATCTGTATTTACATTTCTTACATTTCTGCACTAGTTGCTCATAATATTGCCAATATGAAGTGGAGACAAACCAATAGCTACATCTCCTGCCCAAAAAACTGAGATCAACGCAATTAACATTAATTGAGCCGGACAAGTTAATTTTGATAAAAGAGGCTAGTCACATAGTGTTTAAGGGGTGGGTTGATAGAGAATGGTAAAGTATTTGAAACTTTTCTTTCGATCTTACAAAAAAATTCAGCTATCGTCTTTCTCAAATGTTCTCAAATGTACCAGACTGTATTCAGATGTGTACTAGAAATGAAACTTTTTCCTCTCCTCTGCAAAGGCCTGCACATAACATATTCATATTCCAGCGAGACAGATATTTTCCTTTTGTTTTACCCTAGTTAATTGTTACAAGAGTAATATTTTTACAAGGTTTTATCTGAATGTCTGTTTGCCTGTCTGTTTTTTTTGGATAGTCTAAAGAGTGCACACTTTTATCAGCTCTTTAATACTTTAATAATACACTTAATATTATATGGCCCAAATATTTTTGAGAAAAATTTTGTTTTTAATACAAGTGTGAAAGAAATTGGTCCGTTAGAAGTGGTCGAATTTTCTCCATCCACTTTTCATCCACGACGAAGCACGACAAAAGACACGACCGACAAAAAACAAAAGGACGAGGAAGCAAGTTAATTAAAAGCTTGTAAAAAAACGAAGCGAGCGATAGTAGTGGGGCAGTGGGTGGTTAAAAGGAGGCACTATTCATAAAAAGAGTCTTACGGTCTAACTTGTAGCATGTTTAATTAAGGGACTAAAGACGCCTACCTTCCTGGTCCCCAAAAAGTTTTGCTGTCCCTAATTCTTTACTGAAGAAACTGACAACAAAAGTGAAAAATGCCAATCAGCAAAAAGAAAATGGTATTGATTATACGCAAGGGTTTACAATATCTATCTATATCTATCTATATATATATATATAATTCTCTTCTGGGAGCCGTTAGAAAACAAGCTGCAAGCGCCTCCTTGCAGTCCCCTCTTTTTCTCTCTATCACTATCACTACCACCCCCACCCCCACATTGTCTGGTGAGTTGTGGTCACGCTAAATGTTTACAAAGCTAAATGTTTACAAATCGTAGAGCCGGGTTTCTATTAGGGGCAGATAATTTAGTTCGATTTTAATTTACAGGAGGTAACTAAGAAATAACTAAGAGGAGGCTGCTTTCACGGTGGGAGGGGGGGGGGGGGTAGGGTCGGGGTTAGGGGAAAGGGGGGGTTAGTATTTTAAAGCAAATATTTTCAGTGGCAGCATTGGTACTGTCGAATTCACAAATTATGAATTACTGAAAAGTAGAAAATAAAACAACTAAATAGCGGCGTATGATACGCTGCGGGTCGGCTCTTTCATATTAATTGATTAGACATTTGATACATTTCAGCTTTATTCTCCTCCACCACCCCACTTACAAATAGAGATATATTTATAGCATACATGATCCTCTTACTTTCATTATTTATAATTAACATCGCCCACTGTATATAGCCTGTACTATTACATTTTCATTTTAAAACCATATCAAATCAAAAAGTTTCTGAATTCAATGTATGTAAATTGATGTACTGGGATTTAGCTTTGTGCAGATTTTTATAGCTTATAAAATTACATAGGATGCTGCTTTATTTGAATTCGTAACTTTATTCCCCGCTGATCTTGGTAAGGAAGTAGCGCAGCCCCTCTGAACAAATTGAAATGGAGCTCCGAGAGTTTCTTTGCTCAAGATACATTGGTTGCGGAAACGAATGTCTAATCCCATGTGGTTACTGTGATAGCGGTGAGCCAGACTTAAATGCTGTTTGCGTTGGTACATTTTACTTTAGTTATTTATTATGAAAAATTTAACTACAATGTCCATCATCTATTGGGCCAAGAGGAACAGATCAGTATTCAATTGTTAAGAATAAGATGTTTGTTCTTTCGAAGAATATTTTCCATTTTTATCTAGCTAAAATTAATTACTGGGTAAAAAGTAGCGTTACTTTTAACTAACGATGAAAACTCATACATACTTGATCTATTTTAATAAATTAAAACGCAACGAGAATTTCATATAGTATCCCCAGTTCTTGTTAAATAAAGCAAAAAAACCTCACACAGCTGATACCACCAACCTTTTACGCGTAACTAAGTGGATTCAGCTCGTAGGGCTTAATTAATTTTAGCATCACGAGTAACCTAACAGGTAGCCAAGATTTTTTAATACGAAGCATTCCTAGCCTAAGTCCTTAGTTGTCCAAAAAGTATGTAATCCGGGGCTCCAGTGTACTAGATGAAGTTATTTTTATTCGAACAAATCATTATTTAAAAATTGATCTAAATATATTTTAGAGAAGTAATTCAAAGTTTATTATTTTTTATCTTGATTGGTAAAAACGTGACTCAAGATTTATTCGAACATGTTACTTTCTCTTCTTCTTTCATATCCCTCCCACACCTCAATGTTTTTTTCTGTATTTTATTCCCTCCATGCTCCTTTCATGTTACTAAACCTTTTCCCCTTCCTATCCTTTATGAATATTTTATTTCTGTTTTCACCAATATCTTTTCCCTGATTACTTTTTTCGTTCTATCGACTTTTGTTTCATTTCTTTTGCTTCTTTGTTGCTTTAAATTTTTTCACTAAAAAGTTGCAACACGTCAATTTATTTGAAAGCGATATTGTTTTTCCAGGACACGGAGCAACAAAAGCGACCCCAGCACCCAACGCGCCACAGGCAATAATTATCGAGGTATGTTAGCATTTATAGACGTTTGATTTCTGTCATCAGTTGCTAAACCCGTCTGCGAAACAAATAACAACAAAAATAAATGTACCGCTATGTTATAGTGCTTGTAGTGGGTAGTATTTTCATTTTTTTCTGTGAATTTCTTGTGTCAGTGATCTTTTAAACATAGCAATAAGAAAACCAACGAGTTTACCATAAAGTTATTTGAAAATATTTGTCAATAAAATCCAGAATCCAGAGTGTAGTGAGAAAAAAAAGTTTTAATAACAAGCTTTTATATAATAATGCTATATAACGGATTGAATACGCTTAAGAAGTGACCCACGCTTTTATTAAGTTTTATTTTTAGTTATTTAGTGATTCATTATCATCTATAATATAAGCGGGCAAGTAGTGTGTCAGTCCTTCCTTCCTTCCTTCCGTCATCGCTATAGATTTTGGGACTATAAAAGTAAACATTCGCACCATGCTGTGCTTTTCAGTGCACCGCAGTGTCTTATTATAAGTAATAGAGTAGGGTTTGTTTATATAGCGGCATAGAGCTATTTTAAAATTGCCACGGTTTTTACTCTTTCGCATAACGTCAAGAAAATATTAAATACACGCAAACTGCTAAAACGTATTAAAAAGATTAATGTCAAATATCATTTTCGTTTAGGCTCCCAGAAAAAGTGGATACATTTTAATAACATAATAACAGTAGGGAAGAAATATCAAATTAATTTAACTCTTTTCTAATTTTGACAAAGGAGGTAATTTAAAAATACATTAAACTCACGCTAATAAAAAATGTGAATGCAAATATACGTTCGTCATAGAAGGAATTAGTGTTGCAATAATATAATTAGCAAAATGTGAATGCAAATTATTCGGATGTGTAAGAGGAAATTATTGTTAGAAAATTATAATTAGCATGGATTGAGAAAAGGCAATCTTTTATTTATTTTATTCACTGAATGTAGGCCCTACTGTTTATTACTTATAATTTTTAATCAATTATTCAGCACTATTATAGGCGCGTCATCACGTTCATTAGGTGCGCAATGGTTTTAGTTATGAAACTCTATTGTAAATTTTTAAAATTTAAAGTACTGGAAAAAAAAATGCGTGAATGGATAAAGTGAAATATTGTAGGTAAAACACAGATATTTTAAATACTGCCTATTATTTATACTGATTTCTAATTATTATTCTATCTTTCGGGTTTTATAGGAGAGGCGTAGCGAGGGGGGCATATGTCCCCGGGTGCCGACCTTAGGGGGCGCCAAAGTGGGTTGGAAAAAATTTGCGAGGGGGGGGGGGGTGGTGAAAATCGAAAGTTTTAGGGCGGGGAGGGGGGGAAGGGGTGCAAATCGAAAGTTTGAGGGGGGTGCAAATCACCGGAAAGGGCGCGATTTGGCGCTACGGGCTAGACTGTGAGCAATATGCCTGTATGATTGCATTTAAATTGTGTTTATGTTATGAGTGTTATGTTTGTTTTTTCGTTTTTTTTTGTTTTTTTTTTTGCGTTCGTTTGTGTTGTGTTTAGTTTTGTTCTGTTCCCAAGTTGGTACATTTAAAAAAGATTTACCGTGGCGGAGCACGGGATGCAGCTAGTATATTTATAGAAAAATAATGTGTTTTCTACTTTTTAGTGCATTATTACACAAAAGCTTGTTATTAACACGTTTTTATGCATTTAAAAAATACTTTTAAATTATTTAATGCAATAGTTACATGATTAAAAATATAAAAACAATTGTGCTCTAAATGAACACGAAAAATGTGCTTCAAATAGCGCGGTAAATATTACCTTATATATGAAATTTTAGTTAATTCTTTAAAAAATAATTAAGCATCCAATTAAGAATATTTGGTAGATTGCATTGTCATCGGGTCTTGTCCTACGTGCCAAGTTCCAGAAAAATTGGTCGGTTAAAAATGGTCGAAATCTCGCTCGCCAGTTTTGATCGAGTACGGACGACTAACAAAAGCATGACAGACAAAAGAACGAGGAACCTAATTAAATAAAAGCTTGTAATAAAAAGTATTTTTTTCTGTACTTATGTATTTTCCCACGTTTTCTTTAACTTGCTTTCGTCTCTATTTTTCCAATCAAATCTTGCGATCGAAATTTCTGGCACTTCCCAGTTAGCTAGCGCGCTGAAATTTTCAGGGAAGCTTTGTTTTGGATGACAATAGAATATTCAATTGTTATTATTACTAAATTGATCCATGGAAACATTTTATTGAGCATTTTAGAGCGCTATATAATTGTAGTAAAAACGTGGGGAAAAAGGGACATAACCCAGTAACTGTAATTTGATGAAAACAAGGTTCGGTACTCTCCCTCTTTGCTTACTGAGTAGTGTTCACGCGGTGTTTGTATACAAACAACCGTAACAACTGGTGGCCAGTATGGGGGAGACGATATGGTCGAGTGGTTGGGCACACGATTGCTATACCACTCGACACTGGTTCAAATCTATGTGTTCTAGTCAGTAACGTATTCACACAACGTGTTTTTTACGAGTTGTCTTTTTACGAGTTGTCTTCGTTTACCCAAAAAAGAGTGAAAAGATAAAATCGTTAGCAAGATTTTAATGCAAACAAACAGACAAAGACTAAAAAGTAGAAAATAATAATCATTAAAAAAGTTTTAAAAAACCCACGTTTTCTGATTGAACTAAAAAGTAGAAAATAAATGCTATACATCACAATAATGCAAGCGATCACTCTACTATAAGCGATCAAAAACGTGGGGCGCCGAGATTTTCTTACAGTTTCTAATACTGTTGACTCTCTACAAGCTCCCTAATAAAAGTCAATAGTATTATCTAATCAATAGTAATATAACTTTTACTTCGGCGCCCCACGTTTTTGATCGCTTATAGTAGAGTGATCGCTTGCATTATTGTGATGTATAGCATTTATTTTCTACTTTTTAGTTCAATCAGAAAACGTGGGTTTTTTAAAACTTTTTTAATGATTATTATTTATAGTTACATTAACGACCATAAGTGCATAAGATTAGTAAGTCGTAAAGCCTCTTTGGGTTCATGACCTTATTCAATTTACTTCATCGCTCGCTTGCCATAGAGGTAAGCCTACTAATTGTATTAACGGTCATCCATAAATGACTTCACACTCCGAACTGTAGGCTCGAACTTTTGTGACAGTGTGTCAGACGAGCGGGAGGAGGTTTTCTAAAAGCGCGACGACACACTTTTGCAATGATGTTAAAAACAGAGTTAAAGTTTATGTTGGAAAAATATTTCTTTGTGAGAATAAAAATTGATCATTATACTCAATGTCGACTGAGCTCAGTAAATTGTTTAGAAATATAGACGCTGTTCTTTTAAAAATGTGTTAGAATGAGGTGTAATGCTATTTTGGTTGTAGGGTCTGACTTTTGGTGACGACGTGGTACATTGGGGATGGTGGGAGGGAGGGAAAATTCGTAAAAATATTTAGGGTGTTAATTGTAAGGATGATCCAGTTTGAGTATGAATCCTGTTATTTATAAATACGTTAAGTTGGGTTTATGTTTAAAAACACGAGCACTGCCGTCTTTATTTTACTTTTTATGTTCAGGAGAAGAGCCAATTGTTTGCCCCCTCCCTCCCCCCCTTCCGTATAGACGTCATAAATAAATAACCCCTGATAAATAATTTATGTCCAAGCGATTATTAACACAATCCCTGTTCATATTCTTTAATGATTAAAGTATCTTCTGTCACTAAAAAATAATGAGTCTGTCACCTAGATCTAGGGGCGGAGCTACGGTTGGAGGGAGGCCTAGGGCGTTTGGGGGCCCAAAATCCGACCAAAAACAATAAAGTATTTTTTTTTCACCTTGATTGACTAGTAGTTTTGTAAAAATCTAATACAGCCGTGATTGTCCCACAGTAACCAACACACACTGACAAAAAAAAACAACAACTGCATGAGCTGTAGTTTGGAAGATTTGCAAACCTTCAAACATATTTCATGACTTACCGTTCCTCTTTAAATGGTCTAATAGGCGTGCTCAAAAAGCTCATTTTAATAAATTTGTACATTGTTAAAATAAAGCATACTAAAGAATAGCACAGCTATAAAAAAAAACAAATGTATTCAAAACTATTAATATACCTGCAAAAAAAAAAACAACATACGAATACAACAAACACGGGAAACCATAACACATATCATACCTCCATGTTTAAATACTTTTGACCGACTTGCCAGATATAAAGTAACTCTTTCACAATTTTAGGCGGGTATACACGAGATGAATACATTTTTAAAACATGATTATATCAGGTCCGAAAAATTACTAAATTAGGAAGTAATAAAGTAAGTAGTAAAGTTCCTTTTCAAATCTGACGGTCTATAGGGCAAGTGAAGTTGAGTTCACTTGTTTCTGTGACCTCGGTATAGGAAGAGATAGTGTGGTCAGCACTATGCCGAGGGACATTCTACTAATTTTAACCTTGATTCGAACTCGAGAATTACGGGTTAGCAGTCCAGCTCTCTACCGCTAGAACACTCCGTCTATACATACATATATATATATATATATATATATATATATATATATATATATATATATATATATATATATATATATATATATATATATATTTATATAGAGAGAGAGGTAGAGGAGGGAGAGGAAAGAAAAACAATTCTTTTCGGGGGTGGGGCTTTTTTCTAGTTCCGCCATTGCCTAGATCTAGATCTTTATTCATCTTTAGGAAAGTTTTTTCATAATTAGCAATTTAATTAGATCCAGTAGGATATTTTCTTTGTGTTACAAAAAGCCGTGGATATTCTATCGCTAAACTGCTTGGGTTCAATGTCTCATTAGCGTATTTATTTAAACTATCGGGTAGTGATGAATTTTTTCGCTTATTTTTTTTCGGAAGTCCGATTTTTCCGTTTGAGGAAAATTTTCCGCAGAAAAAAATTAAACATGTTCCGCCGAAAAAATTTTTCCACTGACCAACTTTTTAGAAGAAAATTTGAAATCTTTTTCTTCT